TTCTGTGACACCACAGAACCTGCCAGTAACTCTCTCACAAGTCTACCTTTATTTGCGTAATCTTAGAATGATTTACAGAAAACAAATACCGTGCCTTCCCTTGGATTTGGCTGGGATAAATGAATCCATAAATGTTTTGGGACAATAAGAAAGGATGTTGAAACGTGTAGATTCCTTCATGACAATTAGCGTTGAAAAAAATTATTTCATTTCTTTTCACAGAAAAGAATCATATTCTTATGTGAATATAATATTTATGCATAATTTAAGCCCTGGTTTGTTTGGCTATCTTGAAAACAAGGTACAACTGGGCAGACAGAAAACAGTGAAGGCATATATGCATGATCAGGCTCATTACATTTAAGGATGTTCCCAGTACCAACAGTAAACCTCATAAAGCACTCAAATCATTGAGTTGAATACGAAATAAATGTTTAACTTCTTCTTTTTTTTTTTTTTGAGACAGAGTTTCACTCTTGTTACCCAGGCTGGAGTGCAATGGCGCGATCTCGGCTCACTGCAACCTCCGCCTCCTGGGTTCAGGCAATTCTCCTGCCTCAGCCTCCTGAGTAGCTGGGGTTACAGGCACATGCCACCATGCCCAGCTAATTTTTTTTTTTTTTTGGATTTTTAGTAGAGACGGGGTTTCACCATGTTGACCAGGATGGTCTCTATCTTTTGACTTCGTGATCCACCCACCTCGGCCTCCCAAAGTGCTGGGATTACAGGCTTGAGCCACCACACCCGGCCAATGTTTAACTTCTTTTAAAAATTTTAATTTATTGAAAATATGGAGGTGAGAAAGAGCGTAAGTAGTAGTGCAGTCAGTGTTCCTAAATTCACCTTTGGCGGTACAGACTTACCCCTAAGTAAGCTGAATTATTTTTCTGTATTACTATGGACTGCAGTTTAATTAGCTTATTTCAATTATATTCTTTTTTACAACATGTTATTTTCAAAAATTTCAAATCTAGAGGAAAGTTAAAAATAGTAAAATGAACTATTTTACTATTTTTAGTAAAAGATACTAAATACTACACTCAATATCTCTGACCTAGAGCCACCAACTAGTATTGCCATATTTACACACACTCCCTCCCTCCCATACACATATCTTTGTGCATTTATTTGCTGAACCAGTTGAAATTAACTTGCTGATATCACTCCCAAGTACTTTAGGCTGTATTTCCTTGAAATAAAAACATCTTCCTACATGACAATAGCAGCATCACCTTCGATAAATTTATCATTAATAAACAATACCATCTAATAAACAGTTCATAATCAAGTTTCCCCAATTTGAATTGTCATAATTACTATAATAATTTCCTTAATGACTATTATTGACACAGGAGCCAATACAAGTTTACACAATGCATTTAGGAGTCATATATCTTTTATTTAGAACATTCTTCCCTGTGATCCTTTTTTTCACTTCTGTCTTTCATGACGTGAACATATCTTGGAGAGTCTAAGTCTGTTGTCTTGCAGCACGGCCTATAATCTAGATTTATCTTATGGTTTTCTCATGATAGTTTATGGAAGAAACTCCTACATATCCATATACGGTTGGTTCTCCATATATACATCCTCATATTTTCCCATTTCTGAGACTTTGCTCTCATAGACTATTTCTTTTATATATGCCCTCACTGTGTCTCTACAAGGACTGGTTCAATGCTTAACCTTCTCCAGGAAGATTTCCCTGAGGCCTTTCATATTAAAAGAATCTGTGAATATCCAGAATATATTACCCTTTGTTTTCTTATAGCATTGATAATTTTTGGACTTTGTATTTTATTTTTATTTGGTTACATGTCTTTTACCTTCTCCCCAGCGAAAGCCATCTAAAGGCAAGTCTAGTTGATCTTTGTGACTGCCCTGGTATCTAGCACAGAGTGGGCAATCAATACATTTGTTTCCTGAATGGGTAGGTGAATAAATCAATGAAAAAATGAAAATGGTATCTTTGGCCTCTGAGGTATAGTGAGTCGGTTAATAACTTAATTCTTTAAAAAGGATTATAGAATTTCTTTATACATGTGCTTTCTGTATCTAAAATAGACTACTTAAGTTTTTAAAATAATTTTTTTTTTTTTTTTTTGAGACGGAGTTTCGCTCTTGTTACTCAGGCTGGAGTGCAATGGTGCGATCTCAGCTCACCGCAACCTCCGCCTCCTGGATTCAGGCAATTCTCCTGCCTCAGCCTCCTGAGTAGCTGGGATTACAGGCACGCGCCAACATGCCCAGCTAATTTTTTGTATTTTTAATAGAGACGGGGTTTCACCATGTTGACCGGGATGGTCTCGATCTCTTGACCTTGTGATCCACCTGCCTCGGCCTCCCAAAGTGCTGGGATTACAGGCTTGAGCCACCGCACCCGGCCTTAAAATAAATTTTTAGTTTTAATAAAAAAAAAATGTCGATCACATGCCTTGGTATAGTTCTTTTAAAAATCATGTTGGTAAGCACTGAGGGAAGTCCTTCAATCTGGCAAGTTCATTATTTAGCTTTGGGAAGTGGTCCCATATTGTTTCTTGATAATTTCCTCTCGTGCATATTTTCTTTCCTCTCTGGAATGAGCCCTGTAAATGAGACTCCTGAGTTGATCATCCATATTTCTTATCTTTTCTTCCACATTTTCTATCTTTGACTTTCTGAAAGATTCCTTCAACATTGTCTGCCAACCTACAGGTATTACTGACCTTTAAAATTTTTTGAAATTTGCTGTTTTAATTTTTAGGAGTTTTGTTTTTATTCTCTGAGTGGTCTCTTTAATAACATACATATCTTGTCTTATGGATGTAATATCTTCTTAAATCTGTACAAAAATAGTAATTAGAATTTAATGAAAATGTTCTTCTGTTCCCTTCATTAGCTCTGTTTAAGCTTTCTTAAAAGTTCTTATTTTTATCTTGGTCTCTCTCTCATTGATATTGAAGGGATCTAATAATTTAAGCTGGGGAGAAGCTGAGGTAGGTCATCAAACTGGCTGATGTTGGCCAGGTAGCCCCTGCACATGATCTAAGAAATGAAGGAATTCCTTTAAACAGAGATGGGAACTCTATAGTTGAAACAGAGTAGGTATAAAGACTCTTGAGGGTCCTTTCTGCCCAAACTTTTAGGGAAGAAGCACGTCAAGGAGGAATATTCTGAAGGAAAAGAAAGCTGCAGCCTCCATGAAGGGCTCCCATCATCTGGACTCTGACAAAGGTCCAAATCTTCCTGGAGGATAATGTGTCACTCCTTGCCCCTAATCAGCATGACTCACCAGGCCCAGAATCAGCACCAATGAAACCTCCCTATGCACTGTAAAGCTGATTGGGAACTCTACGTATGTGAGCAAGTTTGCCAATTGCCAGATTGGCTATATGTTAATTACATGTTGAATTAGGTATTATGGTCAGAAACTCCCAACTGTCAAAATGTGGAGGTCTTTTTTCTGAGATCATTTAATTTCTTTAATAAAGAACTCTTCAGTTTTGCCTGGGTTAAATAAGCATCTAGTTGCTGAAGACACCCAGCAGAGTGGTGTGTGCGTGTGTGTGTGTGTGTGTGTGTGTGTGTGTGTGTGTGTATGTGTGTATGCTCTGTTCTTTATTTTGGCTTCTTGTTACCTTCTCTTTAGTTTCTTTGTTTAACCGCTTCTCTCTGCCATACCTGCCGCCTCTTGTCTATCTCCTGTGCATCAGCACTCCAAGCCTTGGCTTTATCCTGCTGTGTCAGTTATCACTCATTTTTCCATCTATTTTCCATTTTCCAGAATTTTGTTAAAATCTCTCACCCTTTGATGAATTATCTTTGGGTTATCTTGCTGTTTTGTTATGAACTTATATGTTCTTTTTTTTTTTTTTTTTTTTGAGATGGAGTCTTGCTCTGTTGCCCAGGCTGTGACCTTCAACTCCCTGGTTCAAGCGATTCTTCTGCCTCAGCCTCCTGAGTAGCAGAGATTACAGGCACATGCCACCACGCCCAGGTAATTTTTTTGTATTTTTAGTAGAGACGGGGTTTCACGATGTTACCCAGGCTGACCTTGAACTCCTGTGCTCAGATGAGCCACCTGCCTTGGCCTCCCAAAGTGTTGGGATTACAGGCGTGAGCCACTGTGCGCTGCCTATATATTCTTTTAATGCCTTTACCATTATTTTGTGGAGTCTTGGGAAGGAGAAGAAATAAATACATGCATTTGTTTGCCATCTTTAATTGAACTCCTTAGTGTAAAGTGTTTGTGTTATAAATTCCCCCTCATATATTTGGTTTTGTGACTGCAGTAGTGTAAATTCTCTGCCTAGAAGATTAAAGAAAGTGATTCTATATGCAATTGTGGAGTAAGGCTTAGATAACCTTGGGTGGTTTAAAGTTTTCTACTGAGTAATCTGGACAAGGGGGATTTAAGACACTGCAGGCAAAGTGTGAGAATAACTCTCTCCTCATGACTTAAGAAGCCTGGTTCCTTATTTACAATTGGAATAAGATAAATGGTTGAATACCTAGAGAAGTTCTACAAAAAGTTACACAAAAAGTTTAGTTAAATTTAAAGTTAATTAAAATGAAACTTTTTATTCTGCTGTTAAACCATGCTCCTCTGCATGTCTGAACCTTCTATTTCCTCTAGAATTCTAGCACCTGAAAGAAAACACAGCTGCAGCGTCAGCCAGACAGGCCTCTCCTAATCTTACTCATTCAAAGAAAATTTCCCCTTTGAGTCACCATGGCATTGGCTGGTTACTCCCACCACAGATCCCTCAGGATTGGCTGGGACTGCAAATAATACTGTTTGCCCATAATCAAGTTGATAAGCTACAACATAAATATATGCAGGTTCTTGTTCTTAGAATACAGCATGAAGCATTTGCTTTCTTCTTTCTAACTTTTCATGCGAGATCCAGAAAGGACACGTTGGCCATTAGAAGAAAGAAAAGAAAAGAAAAGGAAGGAGAAAAGAAAAAGAAAGAAGGAAAGAAAGAAAGAGAATTTAAAGAGAGGGAAAAAAGGCTAAAATGGGTTTGCTGAATTCAAAAAATCCCCAAACCAAGCAAGCCCGAATTCTCCTTTTGGGACTTGACTCAGCTGGGAAGTCTACTCTCCTTTATAAATTAAAGCTTGCTGAGGATGTTGCCACCAGTCCTACAATAGGTTTTAATGTGGAGATGTTCGAGTTGGAAAGGAGTCTTTCGCTCACAGTCTGGGATGTTGGAGGACAGGAGAAAATGAGAACTGTTTGGGGCTGTTACTGTGAGAACACCGATGGGCTGGTGTATGTTGTGGACAGTACAGACAAACAGCGACTGGAAGACTCTCGGAGACAGTTTGAGCACATTCTGAAGAATGAACACATTAAAAATGCACCTGTTGTTCTATTAGCCAACAAACAAGACGTGCCTGGAGCTCTGACTGCGGAGGACATCACCAGAATGTTCAATGTGAAGAAGCTCTGCAGTGACCGGAACTGGTATGTGCAACCCTGCTGTGCCATCACAGGGGACGGGCTGGCCCAGGGGTTCAGGAAATTAACTGAATTTGTGAAAAGCCACATGAAATCAAGAGGAGACACTTTGGCATTCTTCAAGCAGAACTGAGGCTTTGAAATGTCCAAGTCTCTACAGAGACACTGATGAAGTTGAAAGGGTAATTGTTTTTCCAGGCCAAGTGTGGAAAGCAAATTATTCGGTTGACCAACTTTTCCTGAGATGTTATTTCACCTAAATTTAGTTTAAAAATTTAGAATAATATCTAGAAAATATTTATTTTCAGCCAAGAACTTTAGCAAACTGTGGTAATGATAACTAGGAATGAAAATATATAATGTTCCACAAATTTTATCATGCTGGATGGTTTTGAATATAGTAGTTACCTTTGGGATCAAATAAATTATTGCATTATCAATTTTACATGACTACTAGAACAAAGTTTTAGTAAGCTGTCTGCTAATAGACTCAGAATTCTTCTGGATTGTTTCCAGCTATAATAGGTATTGCATTTCCACCACACTCCTATGTTATTACATAGGAGGGTGGTGCGAAAAATGGACTTTATGGAGAGGAAAAGTCTGATGTTGACATCTTATAAATTCTTATTCCCTAAATAAACCTTTCTTATTCCCTAAATAAAGCTCTTCTTCTGTATTCCTGCCAGCTTTTTGAAATCTATTGTTGGGAGCTTTCTCAAATGAATCTTAAACAATGAACTTCAGGCTACTAATTTCTCAGAGGCTGTGTTCTCCCATAAGGAGCAGAAGTGTATAAACTTAAAGGTCTGGTGATCAGGGTAGCACCTCGGAGTTTAAGTGAACATTTGGGCTCAGGGCTCAGCTCTAGGCTGCAGCCCTGAGTCTCGCTTCATTGGAATTCAGTTTAACAGTCATTACTTGGAAACATATGTACAGCTCATTATACTGATCAAACAGAAACCAGACCTAGACTTTGCTCTCAGAGACATACAATTCACAGCAGGAAACAACATAAAGCCAATAGCTAGAGTAGGGCAAGAAGTGCTATGTGCAATTGCAGGAGAGACTCTTTTTAACCAGGGAAACAAGAAATGCTTCATGCAGGAGATGGTATTTAGAGGGTCCCTCTCTCCCAGTGACCCTACAAAGTTGCAGGTTAGTCACTGGAAGTTCCCAACACTAGAAAACTTTCCAGAGGCATTGGGGCAGGAGGGCAGGTGAGTGGGCAAAGGAGCTGGAGATTGGAATGAAATTCCCCTGAGAAGCTCAGAACTCCCAGGGAGGCCCTGGTGCAAACAGACAATACTTTCCTCCTATCCCACCTCCAACAAGGCTCATTTGGGGCTGGAAGCAGAGCTCAAGCATCCACAGCAGCCCCTAGGACTCCAAATCTTAAGGTCACAGGGGGAAAAGAAAAGGGTATAATCAACCAAGGGTGTCAGCCCTTGGATTCCTCTTATGGTTTTCTTCTCTCATCTTAGCTATTACTTGTTCAGCAAAGATCTGAGTACTTCCTTCTGTGCTACATGGTAGAGATTCAAATAAACTAGACATACATAGTAATAGTTACTGTGGGCTGAATACTCGTGGGTACCAGGCACTGTGGGCTAAGCACTTTCATACATTTTCTCATTTAATGTTCACAACTGTCCCAAGAGAAATAGACATTATCTAAATTTTAAAGACAAATATATTGGGTCTAAACAAGATTATACAACAACCACCACAAAAAAACTACTGGTATTTAACTGAGGAGCGGCAGCACAGACAAGATTCAAATTCAGGTGTGTCTGACTCCGAGGTCTGTGCTGTTAGGTGTCTAACATTCTTTTACAAATAAGATACAGTCTCTGTCTTCACTGAACTTACTACACACAATTAAGAATAAATCAGGCCAACATATATTACTTTTATAATAAAAAGGTTTTTAGAAAAAATAAGCTAGCCAGAATAAATTAAGTTCAATAACAGAAATGTAAGAAACAAGAAAGACTGGCAAAAAGTTTCTGATTTCAGGAAGATCTCAGGGGGGCGGCAATGTTAAATGCTTCATAGTAGACCTTTTCCTGTTTCAGAAAATAATGAAAATCTCAAATATGTATCTTCCCTTACAATTTCTCTGTGCACTTTTATGGAATCTTCTTAGTAATCTTAAATTGGAAGTCACTAATTTACCTCTACAAAAAATGCCTTCTGGAGAGGATCCAAGATGGCCAATTAGGAGCAGCTCAGGATTGCAGCTCCCAGTGCAAACATAGAGGGTGAGTGGATGCTGCATTTCCAGACAGATTTTTATTGCCCACAGACCAGGAGATTCCCAGGTGGAGGAGACCCACGGGTTGCCAGCACGGTGGGTCTCCGCACAAAATACACGGGTCTGGGTGCTGTTTTAGTTGGTGATTGGAGCTCCTGGGAGACAGAGTCACCCATTCAACTGATAAAAAGGGGACTGAAACAGGGAGGCAGGCCAGGAGATTCCTGGGCAAAAAAGTGCCATGAATCTCCAGCGCAGCTGTTTCAGCTGGCGCAGGGGGTCGCCGCTTGGGAAATCATGCAGATCCTGGCACCTTTTCAACAGGCAACTGGAATGCCTGGGAGATAGAGTCACCCATTCAAGTGAAAAAAAGGGGACTGAAACAGGGAGCCAGGCCAAGAGATTCTCAAGCGAAAAAGCGCCACAATCCCCCAGTACAGCTGTTTCAGCTGGCTCATTGGGTGTCTGCACAAAATCTCACACAAATCCAGGCACCGTTTCAACTGGTGACTGGGGTGCCTGAGAGACAGAGTTGCCCATTCAACTGAAAAAAAAAAAAAAAAAAAAAAAATGGGGGTCTGAGGCAGGGAGCCAGGTGATCAGGCTTGGCCGGTCCCACCCCGACAAAAACCAGCAATCTGGAATGCTCTTGATTGAGAGTTTCACAGCAAGCACCGGGGATGGTCCAGCTCTGTGGGGGAGGGGTGTCATTACTGAGGCAGTCCACCATTACAGAGAGAGTCTGCCATTACAGAGGTGGGCCGCCATTGCTGAGGCAGTTCTAACTATACCCCTACAAACAGGACTGCAGGGAAGTTCACACAGCAGCTGGGCAGAGCCCACAGCAGCTCAGCAATGCCTCTGCAGGCAGATTGTGACTAGGCTGCCTCCTCGCTGGGCAGGGTAGCCCTGAAAAAAGGCAGCAGCATGACAGAAACTTACAAATAAAGTCCTAACTCCCTGGGACAGAGCACCTGGGGAAAAAAGGCGTTTATGAGTTCTGCTGCAGCAGACTTAAACGTACCAGCCCAGCAGCTCTGAACGGAACAACGGAGCTCACAGCTCAGCATTTGAGCTCCTGTAAAGGACAGACTATCTCCTCAAGCAGCTTCCTGACCCCCGTATATCCAAAGAGTCACCTCATAAAGGAGAGCTCAGACTGACATCTGGGAGATATCCTTCTGGGACAAAGATAGCAGAAGAAGAAACTGGCAGCAACCCTTACTGTTATGCAGCTGCTGCAGGTGATCCCCAGGCAAGCAGGGCCTGGAGTGGACCTCAGCAGTCCTACAGCAGAGGGGCTAGACTGTTAGAAAACTAAGAAACAAAGAAATAACTTCATCATCAACAAACTGGACGTCCACTCAGAGACCTCATCTGAAAGTCAACAACTACAAAGATGACAGTTAGATAAATCTACACAGATGGGAAGAAACCAGCACAAAAAGGATGAAAACACTCAAAACCAGAACACCTCTCCTCCTCCAAGGGATCACAACTCCTCACCAGCAAGGGAAAAAGGCTACATGAAGAATGAGTCCAATGAATTAACAGAATCAGGCTTCAGAATGTGGGTAATAAGAAACTTCTCTGAGCTAAAAGAACATGTTCTAATCCAATGCAAAGAAACTAAGAACCTTGAAAAAAGGTTTGACAGAATGCTAACGAGAATAAACAGCTTAGAGAGGAATATAAGTGAATCAATGGGGCTGAAAAACACAACATGAGAACTTTGAGAAGCATGCACAAGTTTCAACAGCCAAATTGACCAAGCAGAAGAAAGGATATGAGAGGTCGAAGATCAACTCAATGAAATAAAATGAGAAAGCAAGATTAGAGGAAAAAATAGTAAAAAGAAATGAACAAAGTCTCCAAGAAATATGGGACTATGTGAAAAGACCTAATCTATGTTTGAAAGGTGTACCTGAATGTGATGGAGAGAACGAATCCAAGCTGGAAAATACTCTTCAGGATATTATCCAGGAAAACTTCCACAACCTAGCCAATATTCAACTCCAGGAAATACAGAGAACACCATAAAGATATTCCTCAAGAAGAGCAACCCCAAGGCAGATAATCGTCAGACTCACCAGGGTTGAAATGAAGAAGAAAATGCTAAGGGCAGCCAGAGAGAAAGATCAGGTTACCCACAAAGGGAAGCCCCTCAGACTCACAGGAGATATCTCAGCAGAAACCCTACAAGCCAGAAGAGAGTGCTGGCCAATATTCAACATCCTTAAAGAAAAGAACTTTCAACCCAGAATTTCATATCCAGCCAAACTAAGCTTCATAAGTGAAGAAGAAATAAAATTCTTTATAAACAATCAATTACTCAGAGATTTCATCACCACCAGGCCTACTTTACAAGAGCTCCTGAAAGAAGCACTAAACATAGAAAGCAACAACCAGTACCAGCCACTCCGAAAACATACCAAATAGTAAAGAGCATCGACACAATGAAGAAACTGCATCAACTAATGGGCAAAACAGCCAGCTAGCATCAAAATGGCAGGATCAAATTCACACATAACAATATTAACCCTAAATGTAATGCCCCAATCAAAAGACACAGACTGGCAAACTGGATAAAAAGCCAAAACCCATTGGTGTGCTGTATCCAGGAAACTCATCTCACATGCAAGGAAACACAAAGGCTCAAAATAAAGGGATGAAGGAAGACTTACCAAGCAAATGGAGGGGAAAAAAAAAAAAAAAAGCAGGAGTTGCAATTCTAGTCTCTGATAAAATAGACTTTAAACCAACAAAGATCAAAAGAGACAAAGAAGGACATTACATACGGTAAAAGGATCAATGCAACAAGAAGAGCTAATGATCCTAAATATATATGCACCCAATACAGGAGCACCCAGATACAT